ATATATATATATAATGAAACTGAAAATTACGAGAGGAGAGGGAATAACGTGAAAAACAACGAGTTAATTTCTGGTACTTGAGGAAATTAGAGATCAGTAAAGATTATTACTTACGTTTTAATCTCTTAGCAAATTTCAGTGTTAGTGTTGTGAACTAGAAAGAACGAGAGAATTCTAGATGAATCTTTCTTTCTGAGTTATTGGCTAACGGTTTTACTTCTCGTCAAAAGGTTTAAGGAAAGACTTTTCTATCAACTCTTAACGTAATTTCTTCCCTTTTTAATTGAAATAAAGTGAATGCAGACCTTAAGGGGTCATAACGAGAAATGAATCTTGCTAAATTTTTATTTAGAAATTTGTATATCAACTCGCAAGTGATTATACAAGACAAAATTAAATTGTGACGGGACTACTGACCTCTACAAGGCTCACATGGTAGTTGGAGACGTCTTCTTTGAACTCAAAAATAATTTCACTTTGGATTCTTCCTGCGAGTAAATCTTTATGGAAGGAAAGAGAATTGTTACAACTCTCCTTCGTCACTCTCTTTATTGCATGTTTCAACAAAAATAATGGAAAAGATTAATTATCACGTGTTTCAAGGAGAACATCAAAAGATCTAATTCAGCTCTATCGTATGATAGCCAAAGTACGATTGAGAAATCAACATTATATATTTGCTAACATTCCATGCAAAAGTCATAATTGGTAAATTAAAGAAGTCGAACAATTTTATTAAGGATCCGTTTGGCCATACATTTTGCCAAAATATATTTGGAATTTTTTTGGCAAATAAATGTTTGGCCATAGATTTTATTTATATTTTGGCAAATTCCCAAAACTCAAAGCATTGGCCCAAATATTACTATTACATTTTTTAAAAATCACCCTAAACTTTTGTATTTTATAAAAGAGCCCACCATTTTTTATTTTGTAACAATGCTGCTTCGTTTTCTTGGTCATCTGATAGTGTATTATGTAGTTCATTATAAAAATAATAATTTTGTACCAAATTTATTTATGTTCAGGACTATTGTTTTCGATAATATAATGCATGTTATTGATAAAGGTACTGTGGGGTATTTGTAATAGCTTTTAGAACTTGTGGGTATAAGTCATGTTTAATATTTTCCCAACAAAAAAAAGTGAAATATATTTTGAAAACTTATGTCCAAACACATTTTCATCTTCAAACCAAACTTCACCCAAATCAGTTTTTTCAAAACAAATTTGGGAATCTATGGCCAAACGCTAGCTACGTCAAGATAAATTTAGACATTGAATATTAAATTTTGATTTATCTTGTGGTCTTGAACTGGACTTTGTCCTCCTTATTATTGCAAAAGGACTACTTGGTGCCCTGGAGCAACATGAAGTCAACGAGATTTGGAATATCTTACAGCAGACTAGTCAGTCCTCAAATATCCATTCTCCTTTAAAGGAAATTAAACTAAATGTTATGGGAGGCTTTCAAGTCATCCATGACCCCTTAAACGCGCCTCATGGCGTCCTGGCAAGCCTCCCAATGCCTAGCGCCTGGACGGCCCCGTAGTCTTGGCCACGTCAAGTGACAAGTGCGCCTGTGCCCATGTCGCTCCATCGATAGCCCTCGCCAGTGCCCAGGCGCAGGCAGATGCCAACAGCACCGCGCACGCAGACTCTGATGCTAAAGACAAGGTTGCCGCCAACGGACCTGCTTCTACCTTGTAGGAATCTAAATCCTTTTTATTGTAAATATAGAGTAGTTTTACTTCCTGTATTTTCATTATGTCTCTCTATTGTAGGTATGTCAAGTCCTCTAACTTTGGTTATTCTTTTTAAGCATTATTAGGAGGGATCAAGTAGTCAAACTTTCAAGCAAGCAAATAATTCTCTGTATTGGTGTCTCTCCCTCTCGACACCGTATTACCTTTCTATAATAGCTTTCATTAAGCAATCAAGCTTTCTTTTAGTCTCATTCTCTTTTCTGTTCTCTCAATTGCTCTTGACATTGATTTTTCCGTGGGACCCCAATTGGCGGATAGTAACCGCACAGACTTTGGTTGCTTAGCCTTACGCTGCCTTTTCAAGTAATCTCAGAAAGGCACCGCATAGCAGTTGGTATCAGAGCCTAGGCTCGACATCAAATGAGGGAACATTGCCACTGCCACCATTTCTGACCATGGTGAATTATGCGACCGCATTGCGGCCCACGAAGAGACAATTAACATATTACAACCCATCGCGAGTACGGTGCCTGATCTAAGAACCAACCTAGTACAAAGGTTAGACGACCTGGACCGCAGGATGCGACAGGCCGAAGGAGATATAACTAACATCAGCCGCGACTCTGAAGGAGACCGATAAATGACAACCACAGAGGCAGCCAAAATTTTCAGTAAATTTGAAGGGCTCCAACGAGAGTGGACCGAGGATTTAGCCTATAGGGCACAAGAGGAAGACAAGGTGACTGCCATGCAGCAAACTATAGACAACTTGACGGACCAGCAATGTTGTCAATGCGTTACATGGCCTACTCCAAGGAGCAGAAACCACATCGGGGGTGATGTGAACCTCACTCTTGCGCTACAAAAGCTGAAGATTCCTAAACCAAAGCCCTACAATGGGGCTTGGAATGCCAAGGAAGTGGAGAACTACATCTTTGACACCGACAATACTTCGATGCCGTGGGATAGTTAGAAAAAGTAAAAAGGTAGCAACTGTTGCCATGTATCTTCAGGTGATGCTAAACTCTGGTGGCGGGTGAAATACGAAGCCGTCAGGGCCAGTGAAGATACTCTTGAGACATGGGGAGACCTGAAGGCAGCCATACGCCTACAATTCTTCCCTAAAAACGTTGAGTACAATGCGCGGAGAAAGCTCCGGGAGCTTCGCCAGACCAAGTCAGTCCCGGATTACATGCGAGGATTCTCCGTACTCATGCTGAGCATACAGGATATGGGGGACAAAGACAAACTCTTCACATTCCTTGAAAGCTTTACATATTATGCCCGTATGGAGCTGCAAAGACAAAGGGTAGATATTTTACCCAAGGCGATCCAAGCAGCGAAATGCCTCCGGGACTAACAAGTGGAAGCTCGGAAGGATAGGCCTCAGCCGCATGTCCGAGGAGGATACAAAGGGGGCTAACCTAGCAATGGTGGCCCTAGCAGAAGCGCAGGAGATCATAGTACAATCAAATCTAAGACTCCTTCCTCAGGTAGCAATAGTGTTGCGTCCCACAACAATGATTGGGGGAGGAAGCCCCTTTAGGATGTCGTCATTGCAGCGGGCGCCATTGGAACATTGAATGCCCACGGGCACAAACGAACTCCCATCAAACTTTTGATGGTGGGACAGACGACGACACAAACGATGCTGACTAGACAGGACCAATAGGTGCTTTTAACGCACTTGTTTGTTTTATTTCTAAGGCCTTAGCGGGAACCAGTGCTGGCATCTGTAAGAATAAAGACCCATGACAAACTACCACTAAAAGGAAAATGAAGGCGGATGAGGTGTCTCCTCTTAACCAAGAGAAGACCCTGATGTTCGTCGAAATGAAAGTTAATGGCAAGCCCATTAGGGTGATGATAGACACATGTGCTACTCACAATTACTTAGCCGCAACTCAGGTAGAGCGCCTTGGTCTAGGTGTAGGAAAGGGCAGAGGTCATGTCAAGGCTATCAACTCCCCGACTCAGCCAGTTGGTGGAATAGTCAAAGGGGTGCTAGTGAAGCTTGGTCCTTATGAAGGAAAATTCAACTTGCGTGTGGTGATCATAGATGACTTCGAGCTGATAGTTGGATTGGAATTCATGAGGCAAACCAACACCATTCATGTACCTTATGCAGACATGCTGCTGACGATGGGAGCGAATGGGGCCAAGCCCTGCATTATCCCATGCACAACTATAAAGATGACCGCGGAGAACAACTCGGCCTTACAGTTGAAGAACGGAGTCAAAAGACATGAACCTACTTTCATGGCTACCCTCTGTATTGAAGATGTTAAACGCTCTTCGGGTCCTATTCTTGCACCCGTGAAGGAGCTGCTAAGGGAGTTTGAAGATGTCATGCGATAGGACATGCCAAAAAGACTCCCGTTTAGGTGCACTGTGGACTATGAGATTGAGTTGGTACCGGGTGCGAAGCCACCCGCCCGGGCACCTTACAAAATGTCACAACCCAAACTCACCGAGCTGTGGAGACAGTTGATAGAAATGCCGGACACGGGGATCATTGTGCCCTCCAAGTCCCCTTATGGGTCCCCTGTACTGTTCTAAAAGACACAGGATGGCACCCTACGACTCTGTGTGGATTATCGATCCTTAAACAAAATCACCATGAATAACAAGTACCCTATCCCGCTAACGGCAGACCTGTTCGATAGACTGGGTGGTGTTATAGTGTTCACCAAAATATACCTGAAGACAGGTTACTGGCAAGTCCGGATTGCTAAGGCTGATGAACACAAGACGGCTTGTGTGACAAGATATGGGTCTTATGACTTCCTGGTCATGCCATCGGCTTGACTAATGCTCCAGCCACATTTTTCACCTTGATGAACCAAGTCTTCCGAGAGTACATTGACTAATTCATAGTGGTATACTTGGACGACATTGTGGTATATAGCAAAACATTGCAGGAACACTTGGAGGAACACCTAGAGCACCTATGGAAAGTTCTAGCCCGGCAGCGGGAGCACGAATTGTATGTGAAGCTATCCAAGTGATCCTTTGCCCAAAAATAGATTGAATTCCTCGAATATGTCATCGAGGAAGGGCGGATCAAGATGGACCAACAGAAGATTCAGGCTGTCACAGATTGACCGCCTCCTAATGATATCCATGCCTTAAGGGCGTTCCTTGGCCTATGCAACTTTTACCAACGGTTTGTGAAAAATTACTCTCTCATTGCAGTGCCATTGACAAAACTCCTAAAGAAAGTCACGCCTTGGGATTGGGGTCCCAGGCAAGCGGAGGCCTTCAACGCATTAAAAGCGGCTATGTCTAGTAGCCTCGTCTTGGCCTTTTCGGATTTGGCCAAGCCGTTCAAAGTACAAATTGATACCTCTGACTATGTTCTAGGCGGAGTCTTGCTACAAGTGTGGAATCCAGTGGCGTACGAGAGCCGGAAGTTGAAGGATACAGAATGACGCTACGCCGCCCATGAAAAAGAACTATTGGTTGTTTTCCACTGCTTACGCCTTTAGAGGCACTATTTGCTGGGAACCCCATTTGTGGTCAAGACGGACAGCTCGACTGTTAGTTATTTCATGACTCAGCAGGAACTCCTAGTGGAATTTCACTTCAACCTAGAGTACCAAAGTGGGAAGACCAACCAAGTTGCAGATGCGCTTAGTCGGAGGGCTGGCCTAGCATAAGTGTGCCTACTCGCCACCCTAAGGGGGAGCTAAATGTCCACCACTATAAAAGACCAAATACAGGATCTACTCACCAAGGATCCTGCTGTACAATATTTGATCGATTTGGTAAGACAGGGCAGGACTCACCAGTTCTACATGGAAGATGGGTTCCTTAAGGTGAAAGGGAGCCGACTTTATGTTCCTAAAGGAGGATATCTGTGAAGGACTCTTTTGATGGAATTCCATGATACTTAGATTGTCGGCCACCCAGATGAAAAACGCACCATGGCGTTGTTGCGCCGTGCATACTATTGGCCTCAAATGACTGATGATGCTACTCAGTATGTCAAGACTTGCCTAGTATGCCAGAAAGACAAGTCGGACCGCTTGACACAAGCGGGACTATTGGAGCCCTTGCTTGTTCCAAAGAGACCTTGGGAAAGCGTGTCACTGGATTTCATCACTGAATTGCCCAAGGTCGGAGTTCTTACAACTATCTTGGTTATGGTAGACTCATTTTCTAAATACGCCATATTTATAGCAACCCCAAAATATATATCAGCATATGATACAACTCAACTCTTCTTCTCTCATGTTGTCAAATATTGGGGCCTGCCTAAAGACATCGTTAATGATCGCGACTGTTGCTTCACTAGCGGCTTATGGACTCAACACTTTAAGTGCCTCGGGTCCAAGTTAAGCCATAGTTCAAGTTTCCATATGTAATCTGATGGTCATACTGAGCGGTTCAATGACATGCTAGAGGAATACCTCCACAATTTTATTACCAATTCGCAGAAGAATTGGGTGAAGCTTCTAGATGCTGCTCAACTATGTCTCAATTCACAAAAGAGCTCTAGTACAAACATAAGCGCTTTTGAAGTTGTTACCGGACATCAACCGCTACTCCCACACACTATAAATGCCCCAAACATGCCGAAATCTCCTCGAGATGCTAGCTTCTCGAAGGAATGGAAGCAAAATTTGCAGATAGTGCAGAACTATCTTGTCAAAGCCTAAAAGCGGATGAAAAAGCATGCTGATCAAAATTGTCGCTTTATTGAATACTAAGTAGGAGACAAAGTGATAGTAAAAATCCCAAAGCGATACTTGTTTGTAGGGGTCCATGACCCTCGCCTATTGCAAAAGTACATTGGACCCTTGTCGATTGAGAAACGCATTGGGAAAGTAGCATACCTGGTGGATACCCCAGCCTGGTGGAAGATTCATCTAGTTTTCCATGTCAGCCTTCTGAAACCTTTTTGGGAAAACATGAAGGATCCTTCGCGGAGCCAACTCACAATACACAGTATTCGAGGCCCTAATTGAATCGGGAAAAGGCGTTCAGAAGCTACTCTCGATGATCGAGTGATTCATGCTTCAAGAAAATATCACCAAGAGTTCTTGGTGAAATGGCAGGGCTGTGATACAGAGGAGAATACTTGGGAGAGGGGAACAAACCTCAAAGCCTACAAGAGCCTGATCGATGATTATCTTGCAAGTAAGGCGCCGAGGACGTTGCCAACTAAGGTGGGGGAGAATGTTATTGGAGGCTTTCAAGCCATGCCCCATGACCAATTAAACGCACCCCATGGCGTCCTAGCAAGCCTTCCAACGCCTAGTGCCATGGACGGCCCTGTGGTCTTGGCCGCACCAAGTGACACATGCGGTTGTGCCTATGTCGCCCCATAGATATCCCTCGCCATCGACCAGTCGCAGGCAGATGCCAACGCGGCCGCACAGCCAAAAGTGCGCACCGCACAATTTTGAGTGCGGCCGTACAACCCCAGGTTCAGAATACTGGGGTCTCTGATCCTTCATCAGTACGGACCGCATAATTTCACTGCGGACCACATATTTTTGAGTGTGGTCCGCACAATTTAAGCACACAGATGCCCTAACTTAGAGATTGTGGACCGTACAAAAATGTGTGCGCCCCATAATTTGAATATAATCGGCACTGGTTTACGATTCATACAAGTTTTTAAGAATTAGACATAGCCTTAACAATTAATCAATGTTAGCTACTTACCCATGCCCCAATTAACATTTAAGATACTACCCACATGATTAACAATTGACATTTTTAGGCATGAACATAACCCTAGACAAAAGAACAAAATTAAGAAATGAAATGAACATACCAGTAATGAAGGATGTATGTGAGAATCTACATATGAAATGCTTGAAGTTTGAGAACTAATAGGATATGCATTGTGCTTGCTTAGGGCTTGAGAGTTCAGAGAGTGTAAAGTGTGAAAAGTTATGAGAAGCCGTATTTATAGGTTGACCCGTCGGGCCCAAACTTACCTGAGTGCGGCTGCATAATTCTGAGTGTGGTCCGCACTCCTTACCTGTTCCTAAGAAGAAGTTTTGCGGTCCGCACAAAAGTGAGTGCGGCCGTAGAATTTGTGCGGGCCGCACAATTTCGTGTGCGGCCGTAAATTGTTAAGGAACTTTGACAGGACAAACTTCAGAGAGCATGCATTTTTGATCTTCCAGTTGTGCGACCGCACACAGAATTGTGCGGCCGCAGAGTGATTGTGCGGTTCGCATAATTCTGATGCGGTCCGCTCTTTTGTGAAACTTAGCCAATTTTTCTTGCACAGTCCCTACGATGCACACCCATTCCTGCATGTACTTCAAAACTAGTTAGCAAAAAACAAAGCCTATCTAATCTAATGAAGAAAACCAAGAAACAGAAAAAGACACATGGGTTGCCTCCCAAGAAGTGCCTGATTTAACGTCGCGACACAACGCAGGTTACCAATCATTTGGAATGAAGAACCGCCACAATGTGGCCTTCATCAACCTTGCCAAGATAATGTTTAACCCGGTGCCCATTGACTCTAAAAACCTCATCATTCTTATTTTTCAAATCTAGAGTACCAAAGGGGGGTTACATTCACCACTTCAAAGGGCCACTCCATTTTGACTTCAACTTGCCCGGAGACATCCGTAACTGGGAATTGAAAAATAGCACAAGATCACTTTCTTTAAACTCCTTGTTGTGGATGTACTTGTCATGGAAGTACTTCATCTTCTCTTTGTAAAGTGACGAACTTGTGTAGGCATAATACCGGAATTCATCAAGCTCATTCAATTATGCCACCCTTAAGTTTGCGGCAACATCCCATTCAAGGTTCAACTTTTTCAAAGCCCACATGGCCTTATCTCAAGTTCTACCGGAAGATGACACGCCTTCCCAAACACCAATCGATATGGAGACATCCCAATCACCATTTTGTAGGCTGTCCTATAAGCCCAAAGAGCTTTATCAAGTTTTCTTGACCAATCCGTCCGGTTGGCATTTACAGTCTTTGACTGAATACTCTTGATTTCTCGGTTGGAGACTTCAACTTGTCCGCTTGCTTGTTGATGGTAGGGGGTCTAGACTTTGTGAGTGACACCATACTTGGTGAATAAGGTATCAAAAGTCCGGTTGCAAAAATGCGAACCCACATCACTAATAATGGCCCATGGAGTACCAAACCTTGTAAAGATGTTCTTCTTCAAAAATGCCACCACACTTTGAGCTTCGTTGTTGGGTAAAGCCACGGCTTCAACCCATTTTGACACGTAGTCCACAACTACCAAAATGCAAGTGTTCCCACAAGAGCTCACAAAGGGTCCCATGAAATCAATACCCCAAACATCAAAAATATCAATCTCCAAGATGGTGGTGAGGGGCATCTCATTCTTCTTAGAAATACCACCGACCCTTTGACATTCATCACGACACTTGACTAGATCACTAGCGTTCTTGTACAGAGTAGGCCAATAGAATCCACAACTCAAAACTTTAGCCGCCGTTCTAGCTCTACCATGGTGACCACCATACGGTGAAGAGTGGCAAGCCTCAAGAATTCCCATTTGTTTTTCCTCCGGCACACATTGCTAGATCACACTATCGGTACATATCCGGAAAAGATACCGCTCATCCCAATAATAGTCCAGGCAATCCCGTTTGAGCTTCTTCCTTTGGTTTGAAGAGAACTCATTCGGTACAATGCCGCTCACAAGATAGTTGGCTAAATTGGCAAACCACGGCATCCCGGTCATTGAAACGGCTAGGAGTTGCTCATCGGGAAATGAATCATTGATCTCAAGGCCGTCATGTGGCCTCCCCTCCTCCTCCAATCGGGACAAGTGGTCCGCCACTTGATTTTCACTACCCTCTCATTCTTGAATCTCTAGATCAAAATCTTGCAATAGAAGCACCCACGACATTAACCTTTCCTTAGAATCTTTCTTGCTCATCAAATACCGAAGCGCCGCATGGTCGGTGTGAACAATCACCTTTGTACCCATCAAATACGGCCGGAACTTCTCCATAGCAAAAACAATAGCAAGTAGCTCTTTTTTGGTCACTGTGTAGTTGACTTGGGCATCATTCATGGTCTTGCTAGCATAGTAGACCGGATGGAAGATTTTGTTGATTCTTTCTCCCAATATCGCTCCAACTGCCACATCACTAGCGTCATACATAAGCTCAAAAGGTAAGCTCCAATCCAATGCAGTGATAATAGGAGTAGTAGTCAACTTGAACTTAAGCAATTCGAATGCCTTCATACAACCTTCATTGAAATGGAACTTGGCATCCTTCTCTAAAAGTTTACACAAAGGGTTTACCACCTTGCAAAAGTCCTTGATGAATCGGCGATAGAAACCCGCATGACCCAAGAAGCTCCTTAGTCCTTTCACAGATGTAGGGGGAGGGAGTTTGGAGATCACCTCAATTTTAGCCTTGTTGACCTCAATACCATGCTTTGAAATTTTGTGGCCGAGGA